GTTATGTGCACAGCCTTTTCCACTGTAGAAGAACTAACAGAGAACTTGAATAAAATCCTGTTTTTTCCCCGCAGAGGAGAGGGTACAGAGTTGGGAAGTAAGTGTTTACAGGCAGTGAACAATCTCAGTAGGCATCCACATTTCAACTATATGTTAGCGATACGTACGTGTCCATGCAGAAGGAAAACTTCTCGAAAATAATAACCGTCGTGGTATTCTACATTATATGCTAGCATTCTTAGTCCTTTTATAAATTTAAGGGCCAGCATTTACATTAGTATATTATAAACGCAACTTTTTTATATAAATGCGTTTCAACGGGACGAGATCTTATTCTCGAGCACACTGCTCGTCAGTTAAGCTAATAAAACAGGTTGTGTTAAAGATATTAATTGTGCAATACCTTAAGTTAAATAGAACAGGTCTACTGAAAGCTGTTTCATTATTTTATTGAATTTTCTGGTCATAACGATGATTCTAGCCTTATTCCGCTGGTTTATGCTTATCCGCTAGTATATGCCTATTCCGCTCATATGCCGCTAAATCGGAAATGTCTATTTGGTTTCGGTCTCGGCTTTTGGCCTTTGTTCCGTGGGCGCCCTGGCGAGTTCGGGAAAGGTCTAATAACCCTTTATATATTAGCTTTTAGGTACTTACATTATTAGATTTAGTATTGAAACTATATTGTAAATAGTATTACATTTTAATCATATTAGCTCTTTTTAGTTTCTATTTATTGTAAGTTGTGTATGTGTATTTAACAGGGCTCCTTTTGATAGCAGGGGCATTTTGCCACTGAATGGACTACCCTGTTTTTTTATACTTTTTTGTTTAAATAAAGGTTTCTACTCTACTCTACTCTTTATTTTGTACCTCAGGAATTTTTTTTGTTAAGGTAATTTATTTTACTTGGATAATGTAGGGATTGGTTTCCCAAATCTCCCGAACTAGGAGCCCATGCTCAAAGGTGTACTCTACCTCCTCAAACTATCAGTGCTCTTTATTAAGGGTATTTAAAGCTAAAGCTGCACAGAACAGAGAAGTCAAATCAGACGTGGACAACCTAAGGATCGAACAGTGGACCTGTAGCTCTGAAGGCCGCGGAGTAACTAACTGAGCTACGCCTGCTCCTTGAAGACTCCTTAGGAATAAAATGTAGTGTTTGGCCTTGTTTCTGACATCAGGACAGATTTGCGAAATTTAAAAATAAATGGCGTAAAACCCTAGTATTTGACTGGTATCTGACACGAAATGAGATGCTATGTCAGAGAGTACGACACCCAGTTGTGAGCAATGGACTGTCTTATCAACTTACCCAATATGCCAGTCATTCAACTTGGACTTCTTGAGGATCTTACGACAGCTTGACTCGCTTGGCTTGAGGAATGGATCATACGCGATCATCTTAAAGCTGGAATAGACATGTACGAACAATCCACGTGTAGAAATAGTTTATGATTACGATATTTAGTAGAGGAAGATTTGGAAGAAAAAAAACAAGCAGTAGCAGCAGCAACAACAACAGCAGCGATGAAAACAACAACAATGACAATAACAACAGCACCAACAACAGCAACAACAACAGCACCATCAACA